GGTGTCTCGCCCGGGCCCTCGCCAGCGGGTGGAAGTGTCAAGGTGGACAGTCCCGACGGGAAGTCCGGATCTCCTGGGGAGTCCCTTCGCAAGGCAGGGCGAGTCTCAGGATGGGTGGGCAGATAAATTACGCCGGCCCCGCGCCCAGCTTACCTTGGCGCCCTTGTGCAGCAGCGCTTCTGCAACGGCTCTGCCGATGCCCTGTGCCGCTCCGGTCACCAGCGCCACTTTGCCGTTCACGTGCATGGTGCGACCGCTGCTCCGGCGGGCAGTGGGCGAGCTCGGCGACTCCGCTCGTCCGCAGCTTTTATGGCCCCCTGCGCGCGCGCGTGCAGCCGGGCTTGGCCCTCTCCTGCCAGTGGGCGGGGATGAAACTGTCAAGCCAGCGCCAGGGAACCCACGACTTTGTCACCTGCTCCTGAGCGCTCCGGAGTGTCAAGCTTCGCGATCTTTGCCTTCTGGGCGTGCAGCTAAGCCGGGAGCGTCTGGCTGGGTGCCTGGAAGGGAGCCGACAGAGAAAAACAAGAAAGGGTATTTATTTCTAACACAGTTTCCTTCGGTGCCCTTAGACCAGCAGGATAGACGGAGCTCAGAGCAGAGGTTTAGGAACCTGGATTCGCTTCCCGTTTCCCCCACAAACCCAAACATGCAAACAAACAAGCAAATGTTTAGGAATTGTGCTCTTCTGTCTCAGAGTTTGTGTGAGTTCTCATCTCGTGGCCACTGGGGAGTCTGCGGGAGCGGAGTAACTAATAGCATGGTTTGGGACTTGGTTGCGTTTCTGACAAACGTGCACAGATACTGGAGAAGAGGAGTTTCTGCTCTGACCCTAAAACCCTGAATCATATCACCTCAGGGCTGGGGGGCTTAAGAATCCTGTGAGCGCTCGTGTTTCCCATCGGTGTCCCTTGTGTGTCATTTTGAGAATGCCCGCAAGAACTGTCATCATCTCCTTGTACAGGACTTCCAGAGTCGCTGGTAGCCTGGCGAATTGCTGCTTCAATGGAATGCCTGCTGGCTGAATCATACCGGCTTGGGAGGCTGAGGTTAAGTATGGGCCGAGGCTCCCTGCCCTCCAGGAACTTGCGTACTAGCTGTGTGCTGCTTACAAGCTTTCAGCCAAGGCTCTTCACTGACCTAGTCTCGTTTTCTCATATAAGCGGCAGGTTCCACGTTTAGTTCTATAAGCTTACTTGGTTGGCATTTATTTCCTTGAACAAAGAAATCTAAGCCTATGGGAGTTGGACAGAAGACTCAGAGTGACAGCAGAATGAATCCTTTGTATATGTTATTGGTCCACTTTTGCAGGAGACCCCAGGGAAGGTGACTCTACAGAGAAAGTATGTTTGGAAAGGCTGAGTGAAATACACTTACAGTTCACGGTTTTGGTAAGCCACTGAATTCAAACCTGATTTGAGGTTAGTTTTGAAGCTTGGTTAGTAAATACAGGGTACGTGTGAATAAGTGCTGTGGGCTGTAACTTTGAAATGTGTGCAACACACAGTAATAATGAATGTTGGAGGATAGCAGATATATATGGCCCTAATTTAATCCGTACACACTGTATCACTGAATACATGTTTGGAAAACTTCTCTGTACCGCACAAAGACATATGGTTAGGATTACAATAAAAATTATTGTGTAAAAAGAAATTCGGTCTTGAAAAAATATTTTAAAATTAAGACTGGAAAATACATATTTATATTCTAACGTGATAATTAAAATGGCAATGTGGGGACTGGACACATTGGTAGTTTGGTGGTTAAGGTGCTGGACTCCCACATGGCTGACCGTGGTTTAAGTCCCAGACTTAGTGGCTTGCTTTCTCTGTTTTCCTTTCTCTCTCTCTCTCTCTCTCTCTCTCTCTCTCTTTCTCTCTGTCTGGTCAAATTAAATAATAATAAAAAATAAATAATTATTTTTAAAAATGGTAATGTGAAGAATAAGTTGAAGGATCATATTAAAAGAAAACAGCACAAGACAAAAAAAAAAAAAAAAAGAAAGAAAGAAAAGGAAATAAACAAAGCTCCAGCACAGAACATAGTAGAAGAAAAGGAACAGTTCCTCCATCAGGAAGGAACTGGTGCAAAACCAAGGAGGAACTGCGGGGAATGACTCAGGAACAATTGAGGAACACAGGGCATTGCAGTTCTTCCAGGGAGAATTAGTTTCAAGAAGAAAGGAGTGGTTAATAATTGAACATACTCTGATGAAACACAAAGGAAAAAAAAAAAAACGATAGAAGCATATTTTGAATTTTTCAGGGTGGGTACATTGAGAAGCACAGAGAGCAGATCAGATGGCTGCAATTTAAGGAGAAAACAGCTAGTGAGGAGAGAGAGAGGGCCATGGATCCAAGACCCGCACTGCATGCGAATAAGGAGATTGGATAGTGGTTGGGAAGATTAGAGGACCAATGAATTTATAATTTAAGAAAAGGCAGGAGGATAGATCTAGATTAAGAAGCCAGGAGTCAAGCAGAAAACTAGAAGAACAGGAAGTACTGTGCGGGTAGGTGGGTGCATGGTGAGGTGTAAGAGCATCAGCATCGTACTCAGATACATCAGGTTTGGATCTTGTCTGCTACTGAGGGCTGTGTGACCTTGGGCAAGTTCCTTCAACTCTGCACCTCAGATTCCTTGTTGTAAAGTTTCAGCTCCTATTAAAATCTAGTGAAAATTAAATTAGATAAGTCATATAATACTCTATCACAGTGTCTAGCACCAAGCCATAACATGATAAATACTAGTTCTAACTTACGTGAGATAGAGAAGGATATAAGGAACGGTGTTTAGTACATAGGAAGGACTGGGATCTAGAACACAGGTTGGGTCCTTAGTCTCTTTTCATTCCTCTCCATTTCCACTGCCACAGCCCTTGTTCAGAATCTTGTATTTCCTCCTCGATATCAATGGCCCTTAGCCTCTCAAATTAATTCCTTGGCTCCAAATATATTTTCCATTTTATTTTTAAATAATTATTTCATTTAAATTTATTTATTTATTTATTAAATTTGACCAGAGAGGGACAGAGTGAGAGAGCGTGCGTGAGAGAGAGGGAAAGTGAGAAAGCAAGCTGCCAGGCTCAGGACTTGATCCATGGTTAGCCATGTGGGAGTCCAGTGCCTTAAACACCATGCCACCTGCTGGCCCAGGCTCCAAATTTCTAAATCCAATTCAATGTCTACTCTTCTCACAGGGAAACTTGAAATATAGATCTGATCGTCATGTTTAAGAGTCTTAAAATATCTAAACTCTAGATAATGTGAGATGTTCCATGTCCTCTTTTACATGCTAAGAAGCTATTTGTCACTTACCAAGGACCCAACTCTCCAAGTCTTTGGGCCTTTGCCTTACAGTATCTGCTCACCTGAGTATCCTTTTTCTCCTACTTTCTTTACCTGTTTTCCTATTCAGCTACCAAGACACTCTCTAGAAACAGCAATCACACTGTCATAATTAGCTTGCTATCAAAGAGTGTCTGAAAAGAGGGTTGGATCTTTCGCTCTAGATATCTTTTACCATCCAGCACAGGTCCATTCTAAGTATTTGCTCAGGACAGGTTGAATGAAGAAACGTACAGACGAATATGAGACGTGTGTTCAAGAGAAGATGGAACATTTTAACTGGATGATTTCTACAGAGTGTGATGATCTGATATAATGGTAGTATTGGGAAAAAAATATACTGCTAGGATATTTTTAAAGAAGAACTCCCTAACAGTTTATATTATTTTATAATAAAAGCACATTTTGGGAGGCTGGACAGTGGCACAGTAGTAAAACACTGTTTTGCGAGGCATACCTACCTAGTAAGGCTCCAGGTCCACGTTAGGAGACCTCCCTGAGTATGATAGACAGAGATGTGCCCATGATCCTAGCCAAAGCCAAGGTCAGGCTGTGGTGTCGAGAGACCCTACTCTCTCTCTGTGTCTCTGTTTCTCTCAGTCCTAGAAAAAAAGGTTTTTTTTGTTTGTTTGTTTGTTTGTTTGTTTGTTTTTAAGTACATTGTGACTTTAAAATATTTACAGAAACTTGTACTGGGTTGTTGGGAAAGTCATAATGGATTTTGCAGAGATAAACAGAAAAATGTCACAACTTTCCTGACAAGCTAATATTCAAAAGACTCTAAAACCCAAAGAAAACACTTTACCCAGTAAAAATATCCTCATTCCTGATTTTCGACATGCCTTTCTCAGTTTCTATATTCGAAGCATTATTTATCTAATTGACATTAGCTATTTATGTCTACCACCACAGTGACTGTGTTATTAAAAATGCCTTTCTTAGCAATAACTCAGTTAAATCTGAGATAAACCATTATGTATATAGTTTTGAGATCTTTTTTATTTGAAAAGTATATTTGATTTACTTTTTTGAACAAAGTTTTCTTAAAACAAAACCAAGTAAAATGATGCAAAATTGAAAGGGATGATTACTTCCTTGAACCAGCTACAAATATTGGGCTGTGAACATACTCAGGCGTAAGCATCTTGTAAAAGCTACAAACACAGACTCTGGATACCGTTTCACCACCTACCAGCTGTGTGACCTTGGGCAAGTTACTTAACTTCTCTGAATCTCAACTGCCTTGTCAGTAAAATTAAGATAATTATTACACCTACTTCAATGTTGTGAAGACTACACAAAGTTAAGTAAATACAAACCAAGTTCTTAGGCCAATGACTGACACAGAGCAAATATTATATAAATGCTATTATTATTCAGCACTATACAAATATAATTGCACTTGTTATTTACAAACAAACTGAGGTAGTTATTACTGTGGTCATTTTATAGATGAGGAAAGAAAACAGGTTTGGAGAGTGTAGGGACTTGGTCAAGGTCAATTATCAAACAATGGTCAAGGTCACTTATCTAGAAAATTGAAGGAAGAGTCTTTGACTCAAGGTGGGGTTGACTCTGGGATAATGCTTGTTCTAGCTTTTTTTTTTTTAATTAGATTTTCAGTTTGCAGTAATTGGAGTTGAGCAGTATTTTTAGCCATGTCTGAATAGTGGTTTCTTTAAGAAATATAAATCAAAGATTGACTTAAATTCTAATTAGAATTTCTTAATCAAAGAAACATTTTCACACACACGAGCATCTGTCGGTGCAGGACTGACCTGTTGAGGAAGCTCAGTCTTACCTTCATTTCTCAGTGCTAAGCAAACCCGTTCTCATAAGCCTAGGCTTGGAGAAAGGAAAATCAATTGATAGGTAGAAATTACTTAATATTTAAAATGATCACGTTTAAATCTAGACAAAAGAAAGATTTTTCTTTATTGAAACCAAAGAGCACTGCTGAAGTGAGGCAGTGTCTGTTAGCATGGGGTTCTTGGGCTCTAGGCTTTGCTATGACAAGCTATAGCAGAGGACCTGACTATTTTTGAA